AAGGAGTCCTGACTCCTCTCCCTCTGCAATGCAACCACGGGGCACACAGCGTGATGCTGTATCTCGACCAAACTGGCTCTCTAGAAAGCTGTGGGATGATGCAGGATCCAGGCAGTCAGCTGAATCCTATGAAAGATGAAAACCACCCATGGTTTTTCCCCTCCCTTTTGCTGAGGACTTTTGCTTTTCCCAGATTAAGCTGTTTCACATAAGTCAGGTTTATCCCATAAGCACATTCCCAAATGGAATATGCACACCTCAGACAGACACAGTATTTGGCCTCTTCCTCCTGTTTCCTCCCTCTCCCTGAATCTGACCCCAGGTTTCCCTTCTTCATGCAGGGAAATGAGCTAAACTTATTTATGGTACCAGCAGCAGCTCCAGTCCCCCCCCCCAGCTCAGCCAGCGAGAGGTATTTGAGCTCCTATTCCACCACCAGGATCTCTGCAATCAGCAGGGGAGCCCTGCCCACATCTTCAATCACAGACAGGGCTGGACCAGCCCACAGCACAGGCCCATGTAGGAAAAGCAAAGCATGAAAAAAAAGCCTGCATCCCCTTAAAATATAGGCTGGGATGTACAGAAAAGAACGTGCTGTGTCCGAGCACAGGTCTCATCTCAGCAGCAGCACCACTGCTCCTTCACACAAGACCCAGGCTAAGGAGATGCTTATGGAAAGGGAGCGCTGTTTAAGGAAGGTCTGAGGCTATGTCTGGTCACAGCTCCATCAGGACACAGCTCCTGCGGGAAATGCCTCCATGGCAGAGCAGAGCAGAGCAGAGCCAGCAGTCCCACCGCAGGGAGCAGCCTGAGGGCACAGCGGTGCTTGCAGGGGAGCCTGGGGCTGCATTGCTGCAGGACATGGTGCCAGCTCTCTGCAGGCTGGAATGGACTGGGTCGGTTCGCGTTACCCACAGACACTTCACAAGGCAGCTTGGTTTGGGATTGCTCCGGCTCCTCGAATGGACTGGTTTTCACTCACTCCCCTCCATCTCCTTCCTCGCCCCTTTTCAGGCAGAGGTCCCTGTTTAGGGACAGAAAGGCAATAAACCAAACCCCTGCTAAGGCAGGCGATGAATCCGGAGGCCAAATCCTACTGAGGATTGCCCTGAGCTGTGGCCAAAAGAGAGGTCAAGCACACCACCAAAGTCTTCGTTTTGAAGAGCATTAAGACAGTTCTGCTGCTTTTGCCACCACTGCCTCTGCCCCCTGTATCTGGGGAGGATTCACTAAGCCTGTAACTGCTTTGGGTGCCTCTTTTCAGTGCTGTGCAATAGTCTAAACTAGAGCAAAATTCTCTCTAAACTAGAATTAAAACACTTCTGACCTGGATGTCCCAGCCCTATGACCTGGCTGTTAAACCTCCTCACCTGTACAGCCACCTTCCAGTCTATAGGCATTTTAGCTAATTCAGCATTACCAACAGCATCAGAAAGCATCATACACATCATAGCAACATACCTGGACACCAAAGGGAGCACTGGAGAGGATCTGGACACTGAAGAGAGGAAGACCCGTATCACTTGGTACAATAGAAATGCTCTGCTCTATTAGCATCCAGGAATGCACTGAAACCTCACAAGAGTCTGTGAGTGACAGTGCCCTTTCAGAGGCCAGGCCTCTGTGCTGGGACCCTGCCAGAGCTTGTTCTTGAAGTTCAACTGCATCAGCTCAGCTCAGACCTTGATTAGATGATAGCTAAACACAGCTCTATACAGTCTATGTTATTAAGCAACTCTGTACTGTGGTGATGGTAGCTATGCAACTCAGGGAGTACATACAGCTTTGCAGAGACTTCCCAAAGTCTTTCCTGTTAATTTCAGGACCCTGCAAAGAATTGGGTGATTTCCATCTTCTCATCTTAAAAGGGCTTTGGCTGTTCCTCTGGGTTGCAAAGTCCTGGCCTCATTTGGGTGATACACCATAAAAGAGTCGGTGAACTTTTAAGCCTGCACACCAGAAATCCAACATTGTCTTCCTTGTACAACTACAGCTTGAAAACTTCACCCACCCGAAGGCCAGGGAAAACCCCAGCGTGACCACCAGACATTGAGAGAAATGAAAAGACACTTGCACTAAAAACCATTTCCTTTTCTTATAAATATAATTCTCTATTTATTACACAAAGCAAAAAGAATCACAACTTTTTACTCATGGAAAAAGAAGATTTTACAACTCGATTTATAAAAGTTGAAAACCGAATTACTTCTGGCGTTAGTTCCCTGTAAAACACACCAATAATCACAGCCCTGAATTCTTGGAATGCACTTTCATTTAAAAACCCAATAAAATTGGTATCAATACTCACTTAGGAGAGAAGCAGACTCTAAGAAGTTACCTCCAGGAATTGCTTTTGCAAGGAAAGGTTAACACAAGCTCGCTAGAAGGTGCGCGTCTCCTATTAATAGCCTCCCAACACAAAAATAGCACTGCTTCCTTGGCCTGAGGCCCAGTGGATTTCTACCATTCTTCCTCATCAGATTCACTGCTCATTTAACCCTCTGCCCAGCAGCAGCCTCTTGCTTGCCAGTCACAGATTCGATGTGTTTAAAAAGATTTGGGATTCATGTGGCAAAGGTGAAGTATTAAAGAGTTGAATGGGAATTGTCTGTGTAAAGGAAAAGAGTTGTAAAAACAACCCCAACCCCCAAGGAATCCAGACAGCGTTCACAGAGGAAAGTGTGTGTGAGCTTTTACTGGCTTTAACAAAGTCTAGGGTGAATTTTGGGGTCCCCCATTAAAGACTTCCCAAATGAACCCTATTTTCAGCTGGGAAGAGCAAAAAACCCCTCCATATGCTTATGTAAAAGTGCAAATAAAATCAGTGCTTATTCCACTAGGTGCCAGGCAAATATTACCAAGCAAGTGTGCAGAAATAGGAAAAAAACAATGCCACAGTCATCCATAAAGTAGTAATAAACTGTCATTCATAAGACATTTATTCTCACATAGGTCAATTTTTTACTCAAACTTGTTCCTCCACACCAAATGAACTGGAATGAAGTTATTAACATGGCTGGTTTTGTTTCAAACATGAAAAATGATGTTTGAGATTATGGACATACCAGACCTAAAACATCTTCCTCTGCGCGGCTGTTTCAGCCACTCTGTTATATTCTGGAGCCAGTGTTTGCCAGCACTCATCTAGGAAGAGAGTTACTGCAGTTAACTCCTAGGTGTACACTCTTACTCCAGCTTCCAGTGTCAGCATAGCCACTTGACAAGCCAGTCCTGCAGCAAGATGCTTGCCTTCCTCCTGCTTTTTTACGCTGCTCTCTTCCCCTGGCATTTATTTTCACCCCTTGTTGTTTGTGCTTGTAGTTGAGGCTGCCTGTAAGCATGAAACAGGCAGGAGCACTTATTCATGAACACCCACAAGAGATGAATAACCAGCCATCCCAGTTGCCAAAACAGACCAGTTAAAGGCACTTGTGTCTCTTCTGCTTTTGAACTCTTGAGAAAGCTACTCCACCACAACTCCCCTTCCTTCCCATGCTATAGCAACACGATGGGCATCAGTGCGACTCAGCTTAGTCAAATACAACATGTAAACTGCAGCTTTTCTGGACCATCTGCAAGGTGTGTGTGTGTGGGGGGGGGGTCTGCCAGAAATCACAGCCATTCCCTGAGAATTTGGCCTTTTCCAAGGTCTTCTGCCAGGTTATGTTCTCCATGGTGCTGGTGGCTGAGGCACTGCTGCGAGTCCCAGGCTCTTTAGAGCTTGTGCAGTGCACTTTCCAGTGATGATTTCTGCATCAATACAAGCATTATGCTGAAAGGCAACACCCTGAACCTGGCTGAATACAGGCTGTATAGACCTACCCACCTTGCTCCATGTGCTGTCAGTCCATAGCACCTATCTGTACCCAGATTAGCATCTTCATCGCTAGGATCCAGCAGATCCCTGCACAGGGAAGGATGTGAAGCCAACACCTATTGCCCAGCTTTCTAAAGCAGTGTCTCCTTCTTTTCCCTGCACACTTTTAGGTCCCTAAAGGGTCACCAGACCCCCAGGTCCACTCCTGAGGTTCCTGTTGTTCCCTTTGGAAGGCTCAGGGCTGTGAAGGGCAGCAAAGCCTGGCACAGCCCCTGAGCAGCCCTGCTGAAAGAGCAGTACACACCTCACTACTGCTGCTTCTCGAGGTCCAGGCGCCATCTCCTGTCAGCACTGGGGTCCCTGCAGAGCCCTCAGGCCCTGGGTCACACAAACACAGGGAAACAGGGCCAGCATCCTGCGAAGGTGAAAATTAGGACGGGGAGAATGGGGTCTCTAGGTAGGACTGGATGTCTCCAACCCCTCCTGTGAGCAACAGGACTACACATGTCTATAACCACTTATTGCTGTCCTGTCAGAGAGGCAATTGCTAGTTCCGTGTGCTCAAGGGATAAGCACAAACTTCCCCCCTCTTCTAAGTGAGTCTCTTTGAGCTCAAACCCCACCACCACCATCTGCAAACACCGTAACTACGTTAATGTGTGCTGTACTGACAGATATGTGCATAGTTTATAAAGCCGCCTCCCATAGTTTTATAAGCCATGGCAAGCCTCAATCCTGAGGACAGGGAAAAGGTCATTTCAGAGAATGAGACAAAGACAGCTAAAGAAAACTATTTCCTTGCTAGCTAAACCCAAACAACCCTGAACACCAAGCTTTTCCCTCAACAATTATTGCACTTCAGCCAAATAACAGCTCTGTGAATGCCGCATTCTTCACCCTGTCCCCATTATTTTAACAGCATAAAAAGGAATGTGTCTTCCTTCTCCATCCCCATGGTACCAGCTCTGCACTTAATGAAAGCAGCAAATTACTGCTTATAACCTCAGCCTCTGCTGCTGGGCAATTTGCAAAGATTCAGGACCACATGGGAGCTCACAAAGCAGTGTCACCATTTAGGGGCTTCATACCACAAAAGCAGATGGGTGTCTCTGCTTCCAGCCATAGTCCATGTCTGGCTGACACCCACATGGGGTGCACGCATACGAGACTACAGACCCATGGGCACAGAACCATCATTTTACTGAGACAATGACACTGTCCTGGCCAGAGTGACCAGGGTAAGGGATAAACATGTTATCACTGTCTTCTAGCCTGAGAATTAAAACACTAACCATAACATTTGGCAGGTACTTAGTTTAACAAGTCTCCTGTAGTGCCCGTGAGGTAGTTAAATGATGCTAATGACCACAAAGGCCTGACAGGGAAAACTGAGGCACTTGAAGGTGAGGTAATCTGTCCAAAGTCACAGTCAGAACCCCTAGGAGAGCCAGAAATGCTGCCTTGGGCTCCTGGCTCCTACTTAGCTCTAAACACTGAGCCGAGCTCCTTTCCAGGCTCAGATGTCAAAGGCACTGCATTAGAGGAGTCCTTCAGTGATGAGGCTGCTGCTGGTAACAGGAAAACATGGACATTGTATAGGAAAATCCACGCAGACAAGGGAGGAGGGACACTGTGAAGGCATCACCCCAGCAGAGCTTCATAATCCACATACCACACGAGCTGGCCGGAGCTGGGGCTGACACCCGAGGCGGGCCATTTCCTGGGCTCATGGCCTACTCTGCTGAGCAGGGTGGTGATGTCGTGCTTACCCTTCCCCAAAACCAGCACAAACACCTGCCTGGCCTTGTTGATGAGGGGCAGGCTCAGGCTCATCCTCTGGTGAGGTTTGACAGGGCTTTCAGTCAGCACCACAGTCTGAGCCCCTTCCAAACCACCTTCAGAGTGGGGGAAGAGCGAGGCAGTGTGCCCATCAGTGCCCACCCCCAGCAGCACCAGGTCAAAGCTGGCATTGGCCACCAGGGCCATGATCTCCTTGGCATACAGCTCCGTGCCCCTGTCCTCTTCCACACAGAGACGCTGGTTCAGGTGCACAGGCATGGGGTGGACGTTGAAGTAGGGCACCCTGACGCTCTGGAGGAGGTGGTTGTGCAAGCTGAAGAAGTTGGACTCAGTGTCAGTGAGGGGGACGCAGCGTTCATCCACCAGCCAGATGTGGGTGTGCTTCCATGGGAAGGCATAATGGTGCCTGGCCAGCCGCTGGAATAGGACCACTGGGCTTGAGCCACCCGAGAGGGCCAGGTGGAACTGCCCAGAGCGTTCCACAGCCCTGCCTGCTGCCTCCTCCATGTCAGAAGCCAGCTGGGAAATCAGGTCCTCAGACCACGCTGAGACCAGGGGGCTTTGCCGGAACTTGGACTGGATGGTCCTGAAATCACTTGGCATCATCCTCTCGGGGTTCAGCAGTTCCAGTGGCTCTGCCACGGTGAATGCCACTTCCCCACTCACCATTTCAAAGTCTAAGAGGTGCTGGTTCTCCACACCCCCCGGGTAGAGGCGCAGGGGCTGGTTGGAGATGCTGTTCAGCAGCGGTGTCCAGAATGCCCAGGAGGCCAGCAGGTTCTCAGTGGTAATGAAGAAGTCCTTCCTGCCATGGTAGATGTTGGAGATGAGGACAGAATACGCATCTCTCTCTTTCACAGGGACATACACATAGTAATCAGACAACGGCTGTCCAAAGATGCGCAGGTCCGACTGACCCACTTCTTCTCTCCAGATGCCTTCTGGCATGATGGGCCTGAAGAGGTTCCTGCTCACCAGCACTGCAGGGGTGCTGAGGGCACCATGCCCAATGTAGAAGATGATCTGCTTGGCTTTACACTGGCTGTGCCCTGCATCCCGCAGGGCCTCGCTCTGGGTGCAGTAGGCCCGGTTCTTGAAGAGAACACGGACATAACCCACCCGTTCATCCAGAGCTTTCCCAGAAGTGAGGAGGAAGGGGACCCCTTCCCAACGCAGGCTGCCGCTGTGAACCAGCACACCTGAAATGACAGTGCTACCCAATTAAACCTCAACAGCAAGCGGATTGGAGGGGATCTCGATCACCTACCTAACATCCTCCTTCCTTAGCTCCCAGAAATCTTGGCATCCACTGTGTTCCTTGCTTCACATTCAGCCCTTTCATGATATCACTGCACTACCTGCCCTCCAGCTACCCTGCTGTGCTTCCCACAGGCCTGATAAGCCTCCTTTCATCTTGCATGAAACCCGTTTCTAAGCACGAGTATCACTCAGACAAAATCTTTCATGTTCAGAAGACACAGCATGGCCAGGAACAGCCTCGTGGTCTGCTAATCACAGAGAGCTGCCAATGCTTTACCCCTCAGATGCAGAGAACAACCTGTCTTTATGAAAAGGTAAAGCAGTTTGTGGGCCAGTTCTAATAATAACACAAAGATCTTATCAAGAATAATGGGACTTAGCTCTTATGCAATGCTTCATTCCCTGGATCATTAGTAAACTAACATGACAACAGTATTATCTTATTACACCTCCCAGTTACCATGCTGGCGGATGCCTGGAGACATCCCTGTGTCTGTGGTGAGGTCCAGAGTCATGGACCTGGTATCAGCACACAAGGACTCCCATCTCCTGCTCTCCTCAGCTCTAGACTATTCCCCTCTCCAGGGCCCAGACCAAACTCTCACCTGCAAAGGTTGGTGTGGTGCTGATGTAGTCTTGTGCCTTCTGCAGCTCCTCCTGTACTTGGCTGGCATAAGCCTGATACTGACCCAACACAGCACTGCTCTTCTCCAGGCCCCACAAGGACTGGAAGGCCTGCAGCTTGCACTGCAGAACCTCTTCAGCCCTGCTCACGTTAACTGGGAGCTCCATGGTCAGGAACATCAGGGCTTCGGTGAGGTGGTTCTGCAGCACGTCCCGGATGACTCCGTACTGCTCATAGAAGCTGGTGCGGCCTGAGGAGGAAGAGGAGGTAAGATGCTGGTGAGCTGATGTGCTTTCCTTGCAGACTCGCCCTCTGCATGTGTAATGTGTGCGCCAAGGAGAACAAGGAGCACAAGCCCTAGCTGGTTTGCACCAAGCTCCTCTTCTCCTGGCCCAGTAATTAACTTAAAGGTACCAAGCTCAGAGAAGCTGTGGATGTCTCATCACTGGATGTGTTCATGGTCTGGTTGGACAGGGCTTGGAGCAACTTGGTCTAGTAAAAGATGTCTCTGCTCCCAGCAGGGGGATGGACTAGATGATCTTCAAAGGTCCCTTTCAACCCAAACCATTCTATGATTCATTTGAAGCCTTTGCTCTCCCTCCAGAGGGGCTTCCAAAATGTCTCTGCTACTAAAATAGAGATAAAAGGTTCTAGGGGACTGCTTGTTCTTCACAGAGCCAGACATAATCCTCCTTTTGGGGGCTTACAGAGCCTAAACCCAGCAGGAGTAATGCTCTTGCTGAGTTCACAAAGGAGGAGGCAGCTTTGCTTTCTTGGACTGCTCGTGCTTTCAGGAGCTGCAGTCAGTGACTGGCATCAATGTCCAGCCCAAGCCTCCCACATACAGCACGATGCTGGCTCCCTGTGTAACCATCACCCTGACACTCCTGTCCCACACGTCACAGCACCCAGGCCTTGGACTCCGCACAACGTGCAGTTATACACAAAAGCCTTGACAGAGTAGCTGGAAAGCAGGGTCTGAGCAGGGATCCCAGCGGGTCCATGCAATAAGCACTGCTCTTCGTTGTCTCTTTTCCCCTGTTTTCATGTCCTAAGAAGGCTCTGGCCCAGCCTGCAGACAAAATTCCATGCACAAATCCCTGCTTCACTCCCCTGCCTGATCTCTCATGCAGATGGGAACAGGGGGAGAAGGACAATGCACTTAGGAAGAAAGTGACTCAAACAGATGCCTTTCTGCAGTCCAGCAACAGCAGGCTGCACACTGCAGACTGCATCGCAGCCATAGGCTTTCCCTATTGATTGATACATTTATCTCCCTTGCTCTAATCCAAAGGCACATTCATTAATGTAATCAATGCAGCAGAACTGCCTGGAGCCAGGCTGCCAGCTGAAGCTGTACAGGGGAAAAAAGACATCAAATGAAAACTCACAAAGTTGTTCAGAGCAGGGAGGGTACAGGGTTGGGGCTATGCACACACAACATCCCTCTGCAGTGCATCCCTCTCCCACAAACAGGCCCAGGTGAGGTCTGGGCTGCAAAACCAAAGATTACCCAAGTTTGATAAAATTGCATTAATTGAGTTTGTGGTGTTTGAGGAAGGAATAGAGGGAGGGAGGAGAAAGAGAGAAGAGGAGGTAAAGCGAGTGGAGAAGCAACCCTGATGTTGCAGAACCGAGGGCACCTGACATCCCACTAAGTGCTGCGGGTGGCAGTCCAGCCCGGAGTGCTTTATGCTGAGCACTGCAGAGCGGATGCTGCAGCACTGCAGGGAGGGATTGCAGCCATGTCCTTCAGCAGGAGACCCATGCTAGCAACTTGGATTTTCTCTCTGCAATGCTTTCTTAATACAGAGAGGAAGGGACAGAAACAGGCAGACGAACACAGGCTGAGCTAGGTACCTGGACTGACACCAACTAGCTGACAGGAGCAACATCCAGGCAAAAGATGCAAGAGCATCTTCCAAAGAACAGCACTCAGTGTGAGCTTGGTAGTTAACAGGACAGCAATACAAAAGCATTGTTGTTACAACAGCTGGAATGTTGCAGCTGAAGACTGCATCGATTCCAAATCCAGTGCTTTTTACCAAGATTTGGGATAGAAAGGTAGGTACAATCCCCCCCATACACTGCAAAAGAAAAAGGTGGGGGATTCCCCCCCTGCTCCCAGCTGAACTGCAATGGGAATCTTTTCTTGGAAGCAGCAATACTACCTGGAAGTGAGTCAGCCCCTAACATAGTCTAAGAGTCCCTGTCTATCTCCAGGGAGCAACATACCATTCATCTGCTCTTTTCTGTTACTCCCCCAGCACTACCTCAAGGGCCACTTACACATAGGTAATGAAGCTGCCAGTCCTCCTCACCCACCCTAGCTCTGCACACTTGCCTCACCAACCTTTAGCATCCACAGTCTCTTTCAAGACAACCTCCACTCTTTCCACATGGTGTCGGTTCCAAATTGGATCCAGAAAGTGTCGGTTCTGATCTCGAAAAGGCAGGATATGGGCCACAGCCTGTGAAGGGAGAAATCAAAGACCCAACAAAAACTCACCACGTTGCCACAGTACCTCTGCCTCACTGCCCCATCCAGCACTGGGATGTGCCCAGCTCCGGAGCGCTAACAGACATGTCACACAGCAGAGAGCAGAGTGGGTCAGAGAGGAGAAAATCAGCAGTGGAGTGATGCATAATGGGGTCTCCAGTGACTGCACACAGCAGACATTAAAGGCTTTTCTGAGGCATTTTGAGGTTTCATGTGAAAAGGCTGAACTCCAAACTGCAAGGCACTCAGTTTCTATCTGTCAAAGGACAAAGGGCTGAGTCAGACCATCCTGGGACTAATGCAGTTACAAAGCGCTGAAATACATCAGATCAGATGCTTGCACCACTAAAGCCATCTGCTCTTTTGGGGAGAAAAGGAGAAGAAAGGGAACAGAGAAGAAATCCCATCTCCTTGCAGCCAGACATACAACCCCCCTGTGTAAAATGTGGCCACAGTGCCATGGCTGATACAAGATGTGGCATCACATTCCTCTAAAAGAAGGATGGCATGTCCTTGAACACATCCCCTCTGGGACAATGCAGCTCCACAGCCTGAGCTGTCCCTGCACCAGCCAGTCCTCCATGCCCTCAGTGGAGCACAGGGCAGGAAGAAACCTTCTCCTAAGCATCCCATCAGCTCCATCGCATATCAAATTAAAAGCTGCTTCTAGAAGCCACAGCTAAGCAGAGAGGCCTGTGTGTAATGAGATGGGAGAACTAGGAGAGGGAAAGTGCATTGCTTATTCAGCGAAATCAAAGCCCTGACCTTGGTGAGAAGACCAGATGAATGCTGCACCTCTCCTTCAGGCACACACACAGTTCACCCGTAAAGTCTGGCCTCCCTCTGGAGAGGGGACCTCCATCACTCTAACTTTGTGATGCACATTTCCTCTGATCTGTAAGATTGGCAAGTACAGGATTCCATAGCAAATAGATGCTTGGGAACAAACTGGGTGGCTCTGCCTCAATTTGAGAGGGGAACAACACACTTTAGATGCTGAACTGACATCCAACACTCTCCCTGCACTAAGCCCCTCAACCTGCGCACTGCAAGCTGCTCACCTGTTTGCCAAGGTAGTGGTCCACCCGGTACATCTCCTCTTCCCTGAAGAAGCTCGTCAGCTCTGTAGCCAGCTGCTGGGCTGACTGCAGGTCATGGCCAAAAGGTTTCTCCAGCACCACACGCAACCAGGCTCCTGGAGGGGGCCTGCAGCTGCTGTTGATGTGCCGGGCAATCTCTGTGTAGGCAAATGGGGGTACTGAGAAGTAGAAGATCCTCCCAGCCTCCTTCAGCCCCTCCTGGCGAAGCAGCGTCTCAATCTCTCTGTTCAGCATAGTGTAGTTCTCGGCAGTCTTCAGCTGGTGGTATTGGCTTAGTTTAAGGAACTGGTCCTTGAGCACAGCACATCTGTTGGGAGGCTCATCTGGGGGACAGGACAGCTTCTTCAGCACATCAAACATCAACCTCTGCCCTGGCTCCAGAGCCTTCAGTGCAGCCCCATGGAAGGTGAAGCTGTGGCCGCTGCTCACTTGGTCCAGGTAGAGTTGGAATAGACCCTGCCATAAATACTTCTTGGCCAAATCACCCGTGGCTCCCAGCAAGACCACTGAGATGTGGCCCTGGGATGCTTCAGCCAGTGATGGCAAGGCTCCCACGAACAGCACTGTGCACAGGACTCTTCTCAGCATCTTGGGAGAGAAGAGGTAGGCCCAGGAAGACTAGAGGACAGGATTAAAAGAGGGAAAATCTGTCAATACATGTTATAACACTGCAAAGCGCAACAGGAGGTACCTGCTTTCCCATGGCTGAACAGCCTGCATAGATTCTGCACCCTCCGTGATTTGAACCACTGTAGTAACTGGGGCTCTTGAGAAGACTGCAGACTCCTTATGCAAACCAAGAAGTGGAAACGGCATGTGCTTAATGTCTTTTGGTAGCATAAGCACTGTTCCCACAGCTGAGCTAAGGAGGTCTCAATGCCTTTAGCCTGTGAAGCTCAAGTCCATTTTAACACACATTTCAGAGCTGGCAACAGATGAACACATGTGCCTGCAAATTAAGTCCTGCTTTCAACAACCTCCTGCTTAGGACTTTGCTCAAATGGTATTATGTTCTCTTGGCATTGCTTCATGTCAATATTGTCACAGCAGCTCAGAGACAAGCACGACCACTGGCGGTTCCAGTACACAGGCTCCTCTTTAATACACTGACTTCAGTGACTCATGTGCAGCACCACTCTCATGAATGGAGCTGAATAAGGTCCTAATGAGCTACTGGGAGACAAACGATCTGATAAAACAACACAGGGGAAGAAGCTCAGTCCTTAAATTGACTCTAGACAGGAGCCAGTTTGGATGCTGCCTCATGATGGTTGGGTATGCGGCCAGGAGACAATGTGGGGTTTGTGTTTTGCTACCGCAGCTTCCCATCACTGAAGCCTGCATGTCAGCACCCATTCTGGCCTCCTCCACTCAGCCCCCATGCAAACCACTGCAGCCAGCAGCAGCTGGACTCCCAGACCAAAATGCCCTTATTTAGTCTGGTTTCTCTAATCCAACATAAAGCTGGTTTTAAGAGAAAGGACACATTTAGTTCTTGCACCTAGAAACACAGCAATGACTGCATCTCAAGAGAGATAATCCAGGACGAGTGAGTAAACCATCATGCTGTTCTCATTACATCAAGTATTACTTCAGAAGCTCTTACACTGGCTATCTCATTCTTTGCTTTTCCTGTTGGGAAGCTCTGTTCAGTTGCACACCCTTCATAGCACACAACAGTTAACTTCTTTAAACTTCTGGTTCTGGTCAATACATTTATTCCTTCTGTTTTTACCTCTGTGGGAAAACCAGGCATTTTTTGACAGCAAGAGGCAAAAGCACATGTTTTTGTTATACTGGTGCAGTGGTACTCTCACTAGGCTTTGCACTGGCATGATATACCATTTTAACATGGTAGTTCTATGATCATACAACTGAGAAATGGGTCTTGGGTATGAGAATGAACATGATCATCTGCAGGCAGAGATAAGACAGAAAAGTGTCTCATCAAGTCATACAGTCAGCTAGAAAACATATCAGGGTCTCCATTGCTGCAGTTATAGCTGTACATATGCTCTAGGTCCAAAAGCTGTTAGCTTCTACCTGCCCAGGCTTACTCAGGATTGTCTTTCCTAGGTTGGAGCAAAAGGCCTGGACCTTGCTCCCCCTGAATGGCAGGGGGATAAAACATAGATGCTGTCCTAGCTTGACTGGCTCTCACTTTGGAATGCCCCCAGAAAAGACAGTATTCCATCAGGAAGTCAATACAGGATCTAAATCACATAAGGGATGAGGATAACTAAAGCAAAACAGGGAACTTCTGAATATCTCTCCCTGTCTGCAGCCTGAACTGGTCTCTCTAAACCCCATGTTTCTCTCCCCAGCACTCACCTGAGCAATACAGGACCTCCACAGAAACTGCAGTGGCAGAAGTAGCTGGAAACTGGTCTTCTTCACAGCCCCTCCTGAGCGCAGATCTCTCTTCTCCTGTGACAGAGCTTACAGCAGACTCTGACCGCTGGCCAGGTGAGCAGGGGAGATAAGGGAGGTTGTTCCCTTTCTGGTAAATGGGAGGAAAGACCCAATTACAGCAGAGAAAAAATGAACGTGTCTGTGCCAGCAGCGCCCCAGCACATCCAACCTCTCAGCCCATACACGCTGGCTGTGAGGAACCTGTTGGCTGCTGTTTGTGAGCAGGCAAAATGCCAGCGTATGTGGCAACTCCTGCTCCCAGAGTGTCTTCCTGGCTCCTCTGCATGTGAGCTGGGTGAAGGTATCCAACTGAGACCCTGGTGACCCTCCTCAGGAGCAGTCCCCACTCCAGCTCTCAGGAGAAAGGGCTTCCCAAGGCTGCAGTGAGAAGGGGGCAGACCCAGTGAGCCCAAGGACAGCACCCATGTGATGCTGCTGTGCCCTCTGGGCACCCTAGCTTCCCTCTCAAAGGTTAGCTGGCACAGAGACTCCTTGGCTTTTCCTTCCCCATTTCCTGCATGGAAATCACACAGCAGCTGAGCATCACTTAGCTGACCACAACTGCAGCCTGCTCTCCCACTGTCCAGTAGACATTGCTCTGCTCTGGAGAACCTCAACAAGGTGTATCATAGCCTGTACATCTAACTCATATTCCATTGTGACTGGTTCCCATCCCTCCCTTCTTGCTGTGCTATTTAAGCTCCATTTATCCACTTAGGGAATTCAGCAAACAGTGCTGGCACTTGCAGAGGGGCAGCAGTGTGGCTTCTGCAGTACAAATAATTACCATTTCAAGCAGAGGTTTGCTCTTCCCTCCCCCGCTATGGGGTTATAATGCACATGACAAACTTCCTCAAGGCAATAAATTAATATTTACATTTCCTTGAGCAACCTTTGTTCCAGGAACTAAGCAGTCTGACATACTGCCCATTGCAGCCTGGCAGGTTACTGCCACGCTGGAGAGACTGGGGATGAAGAGCAGGTACCTACCATGAGGGAAGGGTCTGGGTGGATTATACTTTTCTATGCACCCAAGCAAATGAATTACCCAAGTAGTTTCCTGTGCCCAGTCACATGTATTCCCAAAGTGACTGAAACCAGTTTCACAACACTCCCAATTGCAAAATGCTGTGCTGCACTGCCCAGAATAAGCACAGGAAACCCAGGGATGTGTTTTACTTTCACATCAGATAAGTTCCAGGTTGACAGGAGCCCACTGCAGGCCTTGGAAGCTCCCTTTGCTGTATGGAAAACATGAAAAAGACCTTTTTTGTTACGGTTGCATCCCCACTGAAAAATAATGGACATGAATAACTGCATGGGCTGGGGCTGCCATGGGCTGTGCACAGGTAACACAGGAAGGGAAGAGTTACCGGCGTTCTCGGAAAATCAGGATGAACATCCTGGATATGCAAACACCAGAGCAGGAATTGCCCCCACCATCAGCTCCCGGGAAGGTCAGAGGCTTAATGTGGAGACTCACATTAAGGCAAGCTGAGGGATGGCATGAATTAGGGTTTGTTCTTTCCTGTCACCCATCCAGCGCAGCACGGGCACAGCGCACCCTGGCCCCAGCACGGTGACAGCAGCTCGGCTTCCAGCGCCCTGGAACGGCAGGAGGACGGGGTTAGAGCGAGGCAAACGACGGCAGAGACCCGCATCTCATCACCCGCTGATGGTGCCGGGCACCGGGGCGCAGCGGACCCCGTGAGCCCATCACCGTGGACAGCGGGAGGAGCGCGGGCACGCGTGGGGCGGGCAGAGCCGCGCTCAGCACCACGGCAGGAACCGGAACCGGGGCCGCAACGCCCGCGCACCCCGCTCCCGAAGACACCTCCGCTCCCCGCCCCGCCGGGGGACCGGGGACCTCCCGCCGCCCCTCGGCCGCTGAACCCGCCGGGGGAACCGCGCCAACACCGGCCCCACCGGCGCCCACCCGGCCCGTCCCGCTCCCCCACTCACCCACCCGGGCCCGCGAGTGGGGCGGTGTCGTCGTCGGGTGCGGGCGGGCCCGACACAGCGCCCCGCCTACCGACGAGCTCCTCCCACCGCACAGAGACTCTGTGGTTGGCGTCGGATCTCACCGGGCCGCGGCGGTCGGGAGGGGGGGAAAATCGCTGAGTAAAGGAGGTTTGGGGGTGCAGCGCTTTCCCCGCTTGTTAACAACCCCCTTTGGCCAGCTCCGGCTGAGCACCGCCGCTGGGACTGTGCTCTGATCACGGGTCTCACGCCCTTCGACACACGGGGGTAGCATCGGGTGTGTTTGCATGGTGCGTTCTCATGTAGAGCAGTTGGGCTGCTGAGGTTTGCCATGTGCCATTAGATCAGAACCTCTGAGTTCCTACCTAGGCCAGGGGTTTCAGTAACCAAAAGCAAAACTCTCTAACTTATATATAAATACTCTATTATATATAAACTCACAGAATCCCAGACTGGTTTAGGTTGGAAGGAACATTAAGGCTCATCCAGTTCCAGCCTCTTGCCACGGGCAGGGACCCCTTCCACTGGAGCAGCTTGCTCCAAGCCCCTGTGTCCAACCTGGCCTTGAGCACTGCCAGGGACGGGGCAGACACAACTTCTCTACACAACCAATGTATATAGGTACACATGTGTGCAAGTATATCTGCCTACAGATCTTGCATTGCTGAAATTACTGTGGCTCTAGCATATGACCTTCTGACTGCACATGGGCATCCACAACTCCAGCCTTATGCTTTCTAAACAAAGGAAGTAGCTTGGAGTGCATTTCAGTTCAGCTCAGCAGTGCTTTTAGACACATCGAGTTTTGGGCTGGCAGGTGGAATGATGAGAAGCAGACAGAAGAGATGTAAAAGTACAAATGCCCACTTCACCCAAGAACACACAGAACAAAGCACTTAAAAAATGTCCTGGTACAACGTAAAGCTTGTGCTGGATCTCAGCTGTTGCCTTCAGACCCACTGAGGTGAACAATGGCATCAGTCTTATTTCCATAGCTGGCTCCACTAAGTACATTAATGTATGGAAATCTTTAGTTGCTGGCTTTTAGACCTAAACAGGCTGTAGGCAGACTTCAGGCTCTCTGCTAGCATTGGGCTCAGTGCTACGCTAGGGCTCTAATTATGGATTCCCCTAGCTCCGTATTAAAATGAGCATTAAAACCTCCCCTGTTAAGAGCCCTGGCCAGCCAGGGTTCACACACAGCATCCTGGACTTCAGGAAAGCGCTGTATTTGCAAACCATGGCTTGTATGGCAATGGCAAGGACTTACACAGTTAAATCACTGCAACTGTGTCCCATCGTAAATGGCTTTACATTATATGGCAAGACTAAACACCTTCCCTGTTGTCTTTTTCACTCAGAGGCCTCAAATTATTTTACTCATCTAGATACACTTTACCACTACCAATTTGGGGTAAACTGAGTCAAATCGTCAGAACTGAGAACAGCACTGGGGCATCTTGCTGCTCAGGCAGGGAGATAGATCTATCAGTGACATTATATGAGACAAACCTTGCACTATATTTGTGATATAACTTTGAATTATGTTTACAGTATTATTTCTTGATGCCATAACCTTCTTTGCCAGTCTATTCTGGAGCTTATTCCATCAGCATGTGTGCCTGGTGTCAAACAGACCCTTTATGGTACTATAAAGGTGTCAGAGTGATGCAAAGTGCTAGCACTCAGGTTTGTCTGCAACATGCAGGGCCAAATTAGGGATGAGGGAGACTGCAGGTTACCCTGCTTCACATTACCCATCACTTTGTGATTCTGACCATGTTACTAATGGAGCTTTGGAGTAATTCTGAGCGCCTCTAACAGCAGTCCTGTTCCTGACATCCAGCAAAGGGTAGATCACAAGCATAACCCAAGTGATTAAATTTAACACATTAAACTTGGTGAGGGGGTAAATAACTCATCTGAAAGAGCCAGCTGGACAAATAACCCAGCTTCAGAGATCTCTCCTTACTACCCTATGTGATATTACTACACACTACATTTAGCAAGAAGCTTAGGGGAATCACTGCTACATCCCATTGCTTGGAATTTAACCCATTATTGACCTGATGGCAGAGCGTGTTCAGCTTGCAGAAGGTAACCTCCATCTGTTTGGGTACAGCAGACTGTGAGAAGAGGTAAATGGGAGTCCCCTTTTGCAGTCCACTTTCTGTTCTGGAAGAGAAATGGGGTTTGCCATCAACTTCAGCTGAAATCATTAAAGTGCAGATCTCCCTGCTGTGTATTTCTGGCACACAAAATGAGATGAACAGCTGAAGCCCTGGTCACTTAACCCTGTTATTATAATAGATAGAGCTAGAAGCTGAGAGTAGTGACAGTTGTCTAACATCTTCTGTTGAAAGACCATGTTTTCAGCTAGTTAGATGATGCCAAACTTCCAAACACTGAAATTGTAGGGGGTGGGCTTGCTATAGGCAGTTGTTCTTTGGAAGTCTCTGTAAAGAAATGGTGCAGCTATTTCTGAGCTGAAGGTCAGGAGATGAAATAGGATTTTTGATCATGTTAAAAATATCTCGGTTGTGTCGTTAAGGAGCTCTAACATCTCATAATTTGGGGCAAGGAAGGTTTCATCCGGATGATGGCTTGGATCACACTGTGCTTCTCTCAGTGCCTTTTCAGACCTACTCAGACGCATGCTCCTTTAAGGGAAATAGGTCCAGTGTGACAGATGAGACATGTGATGCCAATAAAGGAATAAAAGGTGGTTAGCAAGGGAAGGGGGCTTTAAGGACCCAGGTGTTCTACAAGCAGATAAAAGCTCTGTAGGAAAAGGAGCTGCTTTGGGTGGTTATTAAGCTGATAAGAGCATCTTATCAGTTGAGAGATACCAGCCTATAAGCCCTGGGTAAAGACTGTGTTCTGACACAGCAGCTGAAAGGTGGGTCTTTAGTTAGGCATGAGAAAAGCAATATAAAAAGTGAGTTTGATGCTATGGGAGTTTGTTGCCCTGTGGTGTTGCATTCACAGCTTAGTCTGAAGGTGTGGAGAGCTGAAACTGAGCCAGGATGAGGTTTGTACTGCTTTGAAGAGGTAAGGTGTGCTTCAGTACAGCAAGCTTTTGATGAAGTAATCCTAGTGGAAGCTTGCCTGAAATCTGCCAGATTTATGAGCCTCTGCAAAGGCACCTACTGCCAATGATGTAGAGATGTGGCTGGAAATGACCGAGTAATCTCAGTGGATGCTTTATCATTCCTCAGCTCTTGTGTGTTGTTTCATGAGCTGGGAGCCCTGCTGCAGAGCTTGGTCAGTGCCTGTGCTGGGGGACAGGCTTCCAGGAAAGCTCTGGAGATCTAGACTCTCAAGCTCACATGGTTTTGAGTAAGGCTGTTAACTCCTGCTGTGAAGCAATAAAGAAAGCTGTACAGCAGCTGTGCTTCTTGGAAAATAAGGTTGCTGCCTTGTGGCTTCTGGAAAAGCAGGCTGTAAAACTGTAACAGCAGTTCTTAAACTGGTGTGGGAGAGAGTAAGAGGTGCTTTGTTATAGCTACTGGGGCAAGTCAAGGACTTAGCTACTTAATGAGTTCTGGAGCTGCAATTGTGCTTGAAGCTTGTGGTCACTTAAAGCCTTGAATGGGCCTGGTAGAGGAAAATCTCTAGTTTCAAAATGGTAGGTTTAAATACTGTCTGGTATTTCACAATGCCACCTCTGTATTGAGAGGAGCTATGTTCAAAGCTGGATACACAGGAGCCCTGTGGTAGTGACAGCAGGTGATGTCCCCGACACACAACTACTCTGGTGTTCTGTCTGCGCAGCGTGGCTCTTGGAGAGCTTAGCATCAAAGTAAAGCTGAGACACTCCAAGGTGAGAAAGCATCAGAGTGATGCTGCCTCTTAAGAGCTTCTGTTTCTGTTGTTTGTTGACTTCCAAGTGTAGCTTTTGAGCTGTAGGGATTGTCCAGTGAAAGCCTTGCAGGTGTGCACCTGGAGAGAGGCAGGGAAGTGTCTTAGCA